ATTTAATTTTAATTTTAAATTAAAATTAAAATTTTATAAAAAATGTTAATTTTAAAATAAAAAATCTGTGATATTTCCCCCCAAGGAAGTTTATTTAAATTGAACTACTTTCTAATACATGCTAAATGTTAAGAAATAAGTTTATAAGCTGAACCTCTTCAAGTCAAGCCAATAAAATACACAAAATCCCAGTACACAAAATTACACTGGCAGTATGATGAGATTTGGGCTGGATGATTAACAATTCCCAAATATAACATTGCTATATGTTAATCATCCAACATTATTGCAGTCATATCTGTCCCTCCAGCTAAGCTACTCTTTTTCCATATTCCAAGAGTGGCTGTTTGTCCTACTTTATTAAGCACAGTTCTCCACTTGAAGGGATTCTGAATGGCTATCCAGATCTAGCTTAAAGATAAATAGCTTTCATCAGTTACTCTGAAGTTACTAATCAAATGTACTACCTGGATAGCAGGCTGATGCTTTTAATAAATATATAGTTCTCTTCCAAGTGGCCATTAATATGTGAATGCATTAGGACCCACTGAAAGTGATAATTTTATATACTGACCTATCCATCTTTTAATGATTCCCAATTCCCCTTAATTTTCTAGATGCAGTAAATGGAAAAATACATTGAACAATTTTAATAATCAAATCCAAATCTAAGCCAATTGATAATAATCAGCATTTGTATATGTTTGTATATATTTCAACAGTATTCAATATCCTAAATCAATTCTACTTCAGATAATTCCACCATTGCGCAGATGAAGGTGACTCTCTGAAATTAGAACTCAGAGGAAATAAGAATTACTTCCTTCTTATGAAAACAAACTGCAAAGGATGACTGAATATATAAAATGGGTTGCAGATCCATTAACTATAAAGCACCATTAATATCTCAGTATAGAAATAGAAAGTATCTTCCAGACAGACAAAGATTAAGACCGAATCCTATCACAAAGATAGGGAATCTTATGGCAGAATCAAGGTTTTGATTCTCCCATAGGATTCCCTATCCTTCCTATCTTGTCTAGTAGCAATTGGGTTTTCAGAAAAGACTGTACTTAAAATAACTCCCATGTTCTCCACAGATCATTTGCTGAGTGATGATTCTTCTGAAGACCGCAATCTCCATTCACTGTCTTCAATTGTGGATAGTATTGTGGTAGAAGATGTGGCTGTTGCGTTCCAGGAAGAGAGGTCTCAGAACTAAAGAAGCAGCAAACAGTGGCCATCTCTTCACTTTTTTAAAGGTCATCACCAGCACGTTGTAAAGTAGAAGAAACAAGATACTAGGACTTCATAACTAGGAGACATTTCTATTCTCACTAATACTGGATGATATTCCAAAAAGGGAAAAGTTCCCAGCCAACACTGGATGGCATTTTGTTTCCCAATCCTGACTGTTCCAGATCACAAATAAAGCCACTTATCCAATTCCATATACCTGAAAGTGGTTTTGATTTGTTTGCTTAATCCCTTAAACCTAGGCAAGCTAGTGAGAAAGATGCCTAATGATACTCATTTAAGTATCTGCCTGGTTTTCAAAACAATAGAATAATCTGACTTCAATGAAAACATATGGATCTTATTTACTCTAAAAATTGGATTGGAATAGGATGTTCAACGTCTTTTGATGTATTATTGCAAACACTAATTAATGTTGAAAGAAATAACAGAACAGAGTGCTAAGGAAGAATTTGTTTCCTTTCCTGTTTTTAGAAATGTTGTTCCTTTGGGGGCCAATTATTATTGTTTTTTTTTTAATTGTGGGTGTGTGCAAATGTGTGTGTGTTTTAAAAAAATGCTACCTGACCAACTTCTTTTGGCAGTTAGTTTGCAATTTCCAGGCACAGAAGCTATATAAAATGCTGCCACCAAACTTCCTTCCTTCCTTCCTTCCTTCCTTCCTTCCTTCCTTCCTTCCTTCCTTCCTTCCTTCCTTCCTCCCCTCCCCTCCCCTCTCTTCTCTCTTTTTTTACTGTGTGCAGTTACCATTTTTGTATTTTTGCTAATTTATTGTGAGATTTTTTAAAAGAAAAAATAAAGGCTTTCTTTGGTTGAATTTATTCTGAGATGGCATGGAATACTGTCTTAGTTTCTTTTTGAAAGTACTAAAGTCACTCCCCTGAAAAAGAAATGTATGTTATATAAATTGTATTCTCTGTATATCTTTTGAGCCCATCCCTTCCCTTTTCAGTGCTACATTTGGTGCATCCACTTTTCTTTGCCAATACAACACTTAGCAAATGGTGACGGATCTCCAAGCAAACAAGAGACATACTCTAAATATTAAAGACCCAGCCTAACCTGTCATAATTATTGTCATACACATGGGCATATGAATAAATTGCTGAAAGAAAACACAGAGAGAGGACAGTTCTATGGAGATGTCAACCTAGCAATAACACTGATTTTCTTGTTCTGATTATCTTATAAAATTAATGGGAATACCTAGGTTTCAGTCCACCCTTCTCATGGAAATTCACTGGGTGACTTTGGGCTGGTAACTCTCTCCAGACTCCAACCTACCTCACTGGGTCGTTGTGGGAAAAAAATGGAGGAAGGAATGCTATGTATGCTGCTTTGAACTCCTGGAGGAAAAGTAGAATATAAATCTAACAAATAAATACATATATGTGTATAATGAACAGTCTAGTCAACTTTAGATCCTTATTTTGAAACCTCTACATTCTGAAGCTGTTTGAAAAATATGAGGTCATTTTGTTTTCACCGCCATCACTCTGAGCCCACGTTTCCCTAAAAGAATATAGAAAGAGCCATGGAAATATTATGAATAGCAATTCATTTTTAAAAATGCAATAATAATATTGCAGCAGTGTTGTGGTTTGGTACTGTTATTCCCATTTCCTTCCCAGAGACTAAAATTGAGAGGTACTATATAGCCAGCATAATCTATAGCCATTAAGTCACAAGAAAAAAAGGCAGGGCACTGGATATGCTTACTTAACAAACTCAATCAGTAAAGGCAAGATAGACACTGAAAAAATAATATTGTAAGAGTACAATGTGCTTTCAGCATTAATTCAGAAACACGTATCAACTATTAGCAGTCTAGGATACAATTCCCCTTGTCTGCTGTGTATACTGGTAGGAGAGCAACAAAAATAGCATATAGTTGTGAAATTTGACAAAAGAAGTCAGCACATCCACAGAGACAAAATGTTCTGGGCAGGCTACCCAGCAGAGGTGTTTTGTGTCTATAGCACTGAGCTCATCTTGCCTGAATCACTCATTGCTAAAGAAAAATGGTCATGTATTAACATGAACTATCTAGAACAGAGCATAGTGAACAGTGTCCATCCATGACACCCACTTTTATTCTCTTATTCAGCCAGAGAAGTGCTGGGAAGCCCTACATGGCATGGGGCCAGGTTATTTGAGGGACTGCCTGTCCCCAGTTACAACTATCCATCCCACCAGGTCCGGCAAGTGGGGTATGTTACAGGTCCCCTCTGCTAAAGAGTTCCATCTGACAGGACTCAGAGACAAGCTTTTTCTGCTGAAGCACCCATCCTTTGGAACAGGATTCCCCCCGAGGTGAGATTAGGCCTGACCCTATTGTCCTTCCAGAAATCTCTTAAAATGTCTTTTTTTAAAGCAGGCTTGGGAATCCCATGGTAATAGGGAGCCCACAAGATTGTTGCATGGTATGTGAGATTTTGATTCATTCTCCCATGATCTTATTTATATTTTATGTTAATTGTTTTTAATGGTTATTTAAGATTTATTTTAACTGTTGGTTTTATTGTACAACACCCAGAATCACATTGGTGAGACGGGCAGCTATATAAATTAGATAGATAGATAGATAGATAGATAGATAGATAGATAGATAGATAGATAGATAGATAGATAGATAGATAGATAGGATAAATCTTCCAATTGGAATAAGTAAACTGGAGATAAACCTTCCAATTGGAATACGTTCATATGATATTATATGATTCTAAAGAGAGATGCTACATTCATGTAGAAGACAAGTATGAATCAACTGGCCTTGTTTTAAAATCAGGTTTATTGGAACACACATACACCCATTCCTGACCTATTTGCAGGGTTTGGAATCCATGCAGTACCAATATGACAAAAGAAAGAGATTATTCATATAAAGGGATCACTTACTCTGTAAATTAAAAAAATATTTAATACTGTATTAGGCAAGTCGTACACCAAAAAGACATTGCAACTGTACAGTCTCTTGGATATTGCACTTTCAAACAGCACGGTATGAATATATGGCATTCCAGCCATCAAGAAATACCACATCAGTAATAGGGGGCCACACAAGGCAAAAGGCATCATGAGGAGACAAACAGATCCTACCCTAGAAGAGAGAAATAGTAACAGCTAGAATTTTGTGGGGATCACAGGCTACCTGTAGATGCAGAGAGGAGGAAAGGAAATTGTCTGTCTATGTGGGAAAGATAGGGTATTCATGGTATAGCCAACAGAGATGTCCAAGAACATCTTCTGCATTCCCAGCATCAGGTTTCATTTTCTTCCATACATGGACATGAGATCTAAAAAAAAACCATACAAAGTTGCTTGGTAACCAACCTCTCCCCTCTCTCCATCAAGCACCAGTCCATTTTTTTCTAGCCTGGGTGTTTCTTAACCGAGGACCTATATTGTCCACGGACAGAAATGTCTTGTGGCACGATGAGAAGCTCCAGCAGAAGCCCAATGCACCTGAGGAAGAGTTCAGAGCTGGGCTTTCCCATCTTCATTTGCCTTGTTTCTTGGTGATTGTCTTATTGGGTCCAAACTGTACAGTAGGAACAAGCAGCTTCTGCTGCTCTCAGGCATAATGGCAGAGTGTAGCACTGGCAGACAATGGTGCAGGAACTGCTGCAGACCAGCATTAAGGTGCACCCACTTCTTACCAAACCTATGTCAAAGTCATTGTGTCATACATAGTGCAGACTCAGAGACAGAGAAGCCTGTTCTCTTTCTCAGTGAGGGTATCTTTAAAGCCAAGGGAAGAGATTTAATTAGGATTTAAGAATACCAAACAGGAGATCAGGGGGTTGTATACAAGCAGGAGGAAGAATGTTCTGCTGGCCATGAGGCCTGAAATAATTGGCCAGTAGCTTCTGTTCTTTGGAGCTTAAGGAGGAGGCACAGTCTCCTACTCCCGGAAAGCAGCCAGCGTATAACCATACAGATAGTGGGAATGTGCTGCAAAAGATCAGAAACAATAAGGAGATAATTAAAGTTAAATAAAAAAGGAAACTGTACTGTGAGTAGTCTGCTCTGCATTTGTTTTCATTCTCATCTGGCAATCTAACTTTGCTTTACAACAGCAATCAAAGTCCTGAAATATGTATGTTGACAAAACGATTTTACCTTCTATGACTAGGCACTTTCCAGTACCATTAGGACCACAATTTCTAAAATTGCATGCTATGAGTTTCAGTCCTAATATATCTGAAGGGCACCAGCCTGGGAAAAGCTCACCTATAGTATTTTAAAAGAGTATCAAGAAGAACTAATTTAGCTTTATGTTCTCACATTGCTCCTCCAATAACTCTGTTCAATAGGGCCAGCTGTAAAGGGTGGCAGGGCTAGGCATCCACAAAGGATGGAATTCAAGTGAAGGGCCCACACTACTTCCACAGCCACTAATTTCACAGTGCTTGAGCATCTCGAAGAATCAGAGAATATACCGGAGAATCTTCTGTTTGATGCATCTCACCTCTTCCAGATTAGGTGATCCCATTAAGATTGCCCCACCTGAAACCTCCCAGAACAATGGAGTTGGCACACTATATCACTAGGCCTTTATTGAAGAGGCAGTGCTACTGTACTGATAAACACAGAACTCGCAGAACAAGTGGCAGGCACAAGCAAAGAAATGGGTGATGCATGGGTTTTATCTGGAATCCCCAATAAACAGGGCCAAGTCTGTTTTTATCATTGTCATCAATATCAGTGTTGATGTTGCCTTGGGGAGGAAGGAATAAAATTTGCTATCTTTATCCAACAGCTGTCATCTTCACTTCCATAGAGACCTTCTCTGCCTCTATTCAGCACATTCCTTAGGCTCCCTCTTCTTTGTTATTATAGAGTGCTTTTTTACCATTGTCTCTTGAAAATTAAATGTAGGGAGAACTGGTTTATACCCTGCTTAAACATGAAGACATAGACCAAACAGATTATTAAAAGATAAAGCTGGTTAAGCCATGCCCAGTAATAGGTAAAAAAGATCTGAGTTTAGCAACTTGAAGGTACAGAATTGAATTTGGTACTGCAAGTAAGTTCTGGTTTCATCCATTATTTTCTGGAACCTCTATGGAATATGAGGACTGTACTTGTTCTGTCCATGTTTCTAAACTTACCTGGAGCCTTGGCCAATTCCCACTGGAAACTGCACTTCAGCAGGAATATGTGCGAACTGTGGATGTTTCCAGCCTTTGGGACCCAGGTACACCAACTGCAAACCATTTAGCAACAACACACAAAAGCATGCAATTAGTGGGGTCAGTGAGCTCTCATGCAAAGCTCATTATTAAACTCTGGTTGCCTGTTGATGACTGCCTATATTGGCTCATTGTGGATCTCAGAATTTAGGTGCTTTTGTTTCAGCAGTTATTACATTTTACTTAATAAATTACTAACCAATGCTCTTAAAGGACATAAAACACAGAATCCTGGCCTCACCAACATATGGCTTTAGGATATGGTAACAGAGAATGATTTTAAAACAGTGAATGAACAAATGAAATCTAAGCTTGGTTGTCTGCTTGCAGACATTTCATTACCCAACTAGGTAACATCATCAGTGCTAATCTAGGTAAATAGGTAGACTAGGTAACATCATCAGCACAGTCTAGCACTGATGATGTTACCTAGTCAGGTAATGAAACGTCTTCAAGCAAACAACCAAGCTCAGAGAGCACCAAGGACTCCACAGTTCAACTCTAAGCTAAATATATTCTCTTCTATTGGAATGAAATCTGAGCAACAAGAGGATGCTATTAATAAACCTGAAATGTAGTGAAATGAATTGCTACAGTTTATGAGGGTGGATGTGGGCATCCACTTTGTAAAATTGTTTTGGAATCCAAACACTTATACTATATTTTAATTTCAAAGGTTCAGTTCCTTTCTTCCAGATAAGTTAAAAACTAACCAACAAATATAACAGTTTTATATTAGCAACTAACCAGTAAATACAAGTTTTGTATTAGAAATTATCAATAGACTTAAAATAATTAGCTTCTTTGTTCTTTCCTTAATCCAGATTAAGGCAACTAAGCAAATGCTCTGTGTGGAATTCAGATATGTGTTACTTCAGTGAATATTAATTATTCTTTTTGTCTATGTCAAACCTCTGCTACATCAATATCAGGTTCAAGGAATTCAAAGAAAGGCTTGAATGTTTTTTTATAAGAATCCCATGCAAGATACTCATTTAGTAGTTAGGTTGCTACTTAAAAGAACAGAGCACTGGGCTTCATGTCAGCAGGGAACACACCATGCGCACTGTGCAGGATCCAGAGAGTCACCTGACTTTTTAGAATGGTGTTATCATCTCTCATAAATAATAGTAGAGTTTCATCTTACCTTCTGGTGGCATTTTCTTCGGTGGGGCTGAAGGAGGAGGCAGGGGCACCAAAGAGGTCACTCGGAACCCTGCTGGAAGTGTCTCTGCTGACCCACTAACCATAGTGATGCTATGAAAGTCTCGAGGGCGGAAGCGCTTTCGCCAAGAAGGAGTTCGCCGAAAAGTCTTGTCTTCACCCTATACAGAAAAGGATACTTACATAACATATCACACAGAGTAACCATGTAGGCCTATACAACCTCCAGAGGGAGATCAAAGATTAGGAAAAGCCTGTAATCACTGGAACTGGATTCATGTGTTCAAAGTAGAATTGAGCTCAAATTTCTCAGAAAACTTATTTTTCTTTTTGAGAAAACTTTTGAATTTTTTCTCTCATCCTACTAGAAAAAAGGCAGAAATTTCTCCAAATATTATTCACAGTATACATGAATATATGGGTAGATTAAAGACCATAGTCACATCTAGCAACCCTATGCCTTAGAATGATGTCTTCTGGATCATGATGGTGAATGAAAAATGGCAAAAAGTCTGTCAACACAACTTGCCACTACTATCACTTGCAGTGGCAATACAAGTAGTCCTCAAGTAACAACTGCAATTGGGACCAGGATTGCCATCACTAAGTGATGCAGTCATAAAGCACGATGTCACATGACTGCATCACTTAGCAACAGCAATCCAGGCAGTCCCAGTTGTCCTTGTAACCCAAGACATGCAGGTCATTAAGCAGGAAGCATAGGGAGTCCCAGATAAGGAGTGTGGGGGTGCCACAGGTAGGTGGGGGAGGCCCTGGGAGGCCCAGTGCAGGCAGTGTGTGAATTGGGGAAGGGAGGTCCTGCAGTGCAGCAGGAGCTCAGGAAGGCTGGGGAAGAAGGGTGCAGGATGCATGTGAGTGCAGGGAGGCCAGGGAAAGAGGGTGCTGGGTGTGTGAGTTCATGTGTGTGAGTGCAGGAAGGCCAGAGAAAGAGACCGCAGGGTGTGTGCAAGCACAGGGAAGCTAGGGAAAGAGGGTGCAGGGTGTGTGTGAATGCAGGAAAGCTGGGGAAAGAGGGCACTGAGTGCATGTGAGCAAAGGGAGGGAAGGAGGGTATGGTGCTTGCAAACAAAGAAAGCCAGGTTGGGGGAAGAGACTTAACCCGAGCAACTTGCAACCTTCTCCACTGGTTTCCCCATTGATTTTGCTTGTGGGAAGCAGGCAGGGAAGGTCACAAATTGCGATCACATGACCACGGGATGCTGCAACAGATCGTCAGTGCAAGCTGGTTGCCAAGCAGCCAAATTTTGTTCACGTGACTGCAGGGGCACTACAATGGCCGGAACTTTGAGGACCGGTCGTAAGTCCCTTCGTTCAGCACCATCATAACTTCAAATGGTCACTGAACAAATGGTCATAACTCGAGGACTACCTGTAATGAAAATGGAAGACAAATGGTGAAGCAATACTCTATCTGCATGTGGAACCTGCCTCTGTTATAAAAGTTGGACAGCATCATATTAACAAGGACAATAATGATTAAGGCAGTCTAAAAGATCCCAACTGAAGACAATAGTATGTCCAAAATAATTGATCTTCAAATCTTTGCCCAGAGGAGTTTGAAACACAGTTCTTACTACTTTTCAGAAGTTGATTCCATAGTCCACAAAATGAAATTTTGTCTATAGAAATTTTTTGTAGAATTAATTATACATATGTAAAATTATGTGATTTCTTAGATCTTAGGCTAGCTCTGTTCAGCTGAAAAGGTTTAAGTTAACCTAAAATTAGAAGATCCACACAGGGTTGTTATATCTGCATTTTATAAAGAAAAAGGTTGCTAGAATTGTTTGTTTTTGACAAGCAATCCTCCCTTGCAGATCTAAAAGAAGAGAAAATAGCATATGTTCTGCCAATCTCCCTCAAGAAATGAGATGGCATCTGTCTCAATTCTTGCCCCAGCACCAAATTTTATAATACCTCTCTCACCCCATGCATGTTTGCAATGTGGAAGTGGTATAGCAACTCCTACTTCTACTTTTCCTCCATATAAATTGAGCATCACAGTTAACCTCCCAGAAGACAACTACAATACCAGTCCCATTTCCAGAACTCCAGTTGCTTCATCAGTTTCCTAGCTAATAGTATGAGCACAATATTTCTTAAATTCCCATCATGCTTTACTAAGTACTTCATACTCACATCATCAAGTCGTCTGTCAGTACCCAAGGCAAGAAGATTGTTGAATTCTCTCTCCATCACCTGCCGTGCCTGTAAATAATATCAAATAATGTAATAGTAGCAATCTAGCCAAATAAAACTACTAATGCAAACTGTTCACTAACAGAACCAAAGAAGAAGATAAATTGGTATTTATACTAGTAGATCTCTTTATGCCTTCTGGTAGACCACAAGATTTTCCTTGTAACACAGAAGTAGATTTCTATTTATTTATTTGCATAACTCTAGTATATAGCTCAGCAGTTATGGGAGATTACCAGCTCCAACCAGAGTGTTTTTACTGCATTTGATTCCACTCACCCATTTTTTGTTTCATTTCTCCTGCTGGTGGAACTTAGTGTTCTAGCAAATAAATTAGATCTCACAAACCAGAAGCTTGCCACTCCTGGCCTAGACAAATAAATTGCCTCCATCTAGTCCAGCATTCTGTCTTTAAAAATAACAATATAAATGCCTTTGGGAAGTGTTTAAAAAAAGGTGCATGCAACCATATCTTAAAATTCTACCTCTGAAAATCAGGACTCTGTTCAGCTCTCATAACGGAATGGGGATACAGAGGAAGGATTTCATAGACAGATTTGGAATAAACAGATAAGATAAGCTTTCAGTCTCCTAGACTCTGGCTTCCCTTAAGATGAAGAATAGCTTATAATACATCAAAGGAAACTTTATCATTTGTATCATTCCTGTTTAATTTAACAGTGTTCATGGAAGATGTTTTTTCATAATCTTAGAAGGTCCATTAATGACATGAGAAATAACCATCAACTTTGTGGTGTAAAATGTTTTTTCCTACCTGAGTATTCTGAGTGGGAATTTGTAAAATAAGTGCCAGACTATTATAATCAAAATTTTCATCCAAAGCAATAAGGGCACCATGGACTCCACTTTCAATGATGTTGTTGGCATATTCTCTAAGCCCAATGGATTGAATCCAGTGAATTACTTGATCATTGGTCCAGACCAACACATCTAGAAGACATTGAAATTACATATTTAAATGAAATTACCATGGAGAATGCTTGTGTCTTTATGAGCTGTCCATGACATAAAAAGAATAAAATATGGATGTACTGTCTAAAAATAGTTTGTCTTGTGTAACTGATTCATAATATTCTTCTAATATTGTTTCTGGGGAAATAAGCCCCACTGTAAAATGTTAGAGAAATATGTGTTTATTTATACACCAAAAATCTATGTTTAAATCTCTATCTGGAAGACAGTCCAGAAAGAAGATGTGGCAAATGGAACAGAAGTGCTCCAGACATATGGTAACTACCCAGTGAATATAAATGAACACAATGAAAACAAATACAGTAAAATTCAACAAATTAACAGTATGAAATAACATAAGCAGCAGCTATAAAATCAGCGAAGTCAGTAAAAACAGAAAACAACAAAATACAATAAAGAATATTTACAATATGCCATAATACCTAAGGAAATAAATAACTTTGCTTAGATGATACTAACTTTGCAGACATAGTACAGTACTAAAGTTGGTGCCAGACATGCATCTTTGGTGAGGCTTTCCATATGTAGAACAGCATGATTGAGTTAATCTTATCAGCTGCTACTATAAAAGAGTTTTGGAGGATAGCTTCTGATGAAGGATGAAGGGTTTGGGTATGTTCTTTTGTAAGAAAATGTACTCTCATAAGCAGCAAAATTGTAAGATATTTTAGGTATCAATACGTTATACTTTATAATATATAATGTATAGGTATAATGTACCTATACATTATACTTTATATTCTTCAGTTACACTGTTTCAATCTCCCAAAAAGTCCCTCATTCAGAGGTTTTAATAATGCCAACATTTTTTTTCATTTAAATTATTTTATTTTTAGCCAGTTTGAACCCACTGAGTGCCAAAAAAACAAACAGAAAAAAGAGGTCACATTAGGTATTAAAAAATAGGTAAATGTGGAGTACTGGATTCAGTAAATAATAGGAATGTTTTCTAATCAGAGTAATCCTTCTGTTCAGGTCTCCTTTGATTGCCCAAATGGGTGGAAAGAACTTAGTTTTACTATTCACTCCACATCACTGCTGCTCAATTTCTCAACCTGAGCAGTTGTTTATTTATTTTACAGAAAGATTGGTGGGTTAATCCCTTCCACTTCCACTTAGAGCACTAACAACCAATTCCTGCAGTTTTTCAGAGAGACATTATCATTCCTTATAAGCATGCCTTTGCTCTGCACAAAAACCCTCAACATCTAGTTGATAATTAGCCCCCCATAGGGCTAACTATTGCAAATTTTATCACATTCTCCCCCTAATAACAGGCATTTATGTACTAATTAATGGTTAAAAGAGTATAGCCTTATTCTTTATTTTTGATTAAATTTAGCAAGTGTCATTATTTCAAAAAACCCACTGTGAGAATTTCATTCCATTATGTGAAAACCATAAGTTAATGCCATTTATGTTTTGTTAGACCAGGGAAAATTTTTCCAAGTCTCATCTCAGATCAGATTATGAAGTTGAAATAAACTACCTTGGTTGTGATTCAGGCAGGATCAGGGCATTTCTAGAGCTTTGGACTAGGCTCCTAAACTGGAACAAGTAGCCTCTGCACAACCCTAGTTAATAAGCCTATAACATCAACATTATTTCATTTCCTCAGCATGTTAATTCAGTTGTAACTAGAGCAAGGAATTGTGTCTTGGATCAACTCTCTAGTAAAGGAAACTTGGGAGTTACCTATACTCCAAGACTTCAACCTTCCATCAAAGCAAGAATTCCCTGCAAGGACATGTGAGCATGATGTATAAAACAACTGGAAAAATACCGACATACAATAAAATAAAATGATTAAAGTGGTAAAACTGTGACAGGTTTCAAGCACAATAAATCCTGCTGAAAAGCCAGTAACTGGAAAGCCTCTGGAGTACTTCTACTCTCTACAACTAGGAAAATTGATTTTGTAAGCATCAACTAAACAAGGATCTGTACTTCGTAAACAGATTTGACTTTTCTGGCTGAAAAAGAAAAATAGGAAGGAAAAGCAGCTTCAAAAACTATAATTCAAAGTCTGAATTATAGACTGTTTTACAGCTTGCCTTGAATACATTTCTAAATTGCTACTTGCCTTTGATTTCATGCTGGCTTTCTTCCCGCCTCTTTTCCAGCTCCTTTCTATCATAGTTCAGTCTCTTCAGGCACATAATCCCATACTGGAGACTTGTTCTGCAACAATGCAATACTTAAAACAAGGCATATCAATTTTCCAACCACTTTTACTTTCAAGAGGTGTGTATGTGAATATGTGTTTTAGCCTATGGCAAAAATACATAGCAACTTTTGATACTGTTTCAAAAATATCAAACTGTCTACCCTATTGATCCAATTTTCCGATTTTTGGCTTTAATGTATTATAATCTGAGAGTTTTAATACTTATGGGATATGCTATTACCCAGCCTAAAAAGCTCTTACCATGCCTGTCATTATTGCTCTTCATTCAAAGGAAGGACTGATAAAAGCCAGAGTGTACAAGTTGAACTTCTAGGGTCACATGCAATTCTCAAAAGCATGGAATGCAGCTTCCAGAGCCTCTCCACAAGCTGTCACTAAATTGTAGCTTTTTTAATGTAACAGAAGCAGAAAGTTATTAAATACATGGGGAGTAACTATATCAAAACCATTAAATTTCAAGTTTAATTAAATTAAATCAAATCATATTTAGGATATGGGCCTCAGAGACATTTAATATTTGTTTGCAAATGTTTAATTATACTAACTTTCAATATGATAAATCAGGATAACTATTAAACATATAACTGCAGAGAAATAGTATTAATTGCATTTAAATAATTTAAATGTAAAAATCAAGGCACTCAGTGCTTCAGATTCAAAGGCAAAAAGGTGCTCTGGAGCATGCAGCTGCACTCATGGAGCATCTTTATGCAACTACTTGAAGCAGCTTCATTTTTTTCCCCATGGTTGCCTTCTGGAGCTGAAGTGGGAATCTGAGAAAGATATGTTTGATTTAACGAGTTTCAGACAATTGCTATGTTTGCATCCAAAGGCCCTTTTTGCCTTTGAATCCAAAGCATTGCACAGCCCTGTTAAATAACATGAAATCAGCTTTGGTTTCTGTCCAGGCTTCACTTCTTTTTGGAGTGTGGGCCTGTTATATTTCTCCAGAACCAAATGTGGCCTTCACTTGAAAAAAATTACACCCCCTTTGACTATAGGAATTTAAGGTGGTTGCAAGAGTACTTCAGCTTACGTCCCAAGAAAACTTGCTCACCGATGGAAACTGTCTACCATCTTCAGGTGTACTCGAAGGTCTTTCTTAGTCAGATGATCCAACATTCGTGCATCCACAAGACATTCCATGAAGTAACTGCGATACTGTGGGAGACCTAGACTAGGAAGCCATTCATTCCCTATCCACTCATGGTTCATGTCCCCATAAGCCAGAGTCTGTGAAGGTTTAAAAAAGAAAAAAAGCAAAGCAACATACAGTACATATAAGTACCTATTAGCAATACAGACAGAATCCTGACTGGATGGCCTACAGATTGGAGTTAGAACATTTTAGTATAGAAAATCTCCCAGAGATATGGAACTCTTATATCTTAGATATAAAATTCCTAATGATATATACTAGTGAGTTGTGCCACAGAGATAAGAGTGATATAATAGCCTAAAAATGATTCAGGACCTTTTTCAGTAGGTTTGAGATGATTTGCAACATCTGAATTATACAGCTTCAAACACATTTTTCAACATGTGACAGGATGACATACATCTGACATTTGTAACAAGGTCTCAAATCGACTGCCTGAGTATTATGCACCATGTACAATGTATGCTGCAATATAAGTATGCCATAGTTGAGAAACCTTAAACACAAATAAAGCATTTGTATTCTGTTTTCAGCACCTTAGGAATAAATACACTGCATAGTTTTATAATACTGAACTTATCTTCAGGGATACTTTTATATGATTATTAATCTTATTTGAGTCTGAAGACACAATAAAATAGGATTTGTTACATGCTAACCACTGAATTAATAGGTAAAGTAAGCTACTGAGTTTTCACTGAAATGCTTGGTTCAGAAGATCTTATAGCTCTATCCTGTCAGCTGTCAAAGTTTTCAGTTGCAAGGAATCAAAAACTGAAAAGAAAGGAGAATTATTCCCTATTCATGCCTGACAGAATTCTTTAAACTTTACCTTCTGCTGGTCAAACAAGAGAGGTATCTGATTTTTTAAAGAAAGTTAAAAAATACACTACAGATATTTTCCCAGTTTATATAGAGAAACAGAAAGAGTAGAGAATCTGGCTAGGAATAAGTAATGCTAAAATTAAATGAAAAGTATCAATAAAATCAATGTAGCAGGTTTTATATGTTGATATCCTAAACATATAGAAGTTAGTGAAATATTTTGAAGGCTTGACAAGGAATTAGCTATTATTAAATGAAATATAACTACCTTCCCTATTTGATAGTAACCAGAAAGGAAGTATAGTAAGGTTTTCAAGTAATCTGCATTTGTTTCCATTATTCTCTAAGAGGTTCTTAAATGAATCTAGAGAAACTGCTCAAAAGGACAGTCTGATATAATCATATGGTTCATATTTGTACATAACTCCATTTCTCTGGAAACCAAAGAGCTTTGTATTTCCAGGTACAGAGGAAAAAAACCACAAGATAATGCCAGGGTCTCACCTGTGCCCAACTGCCTTCCTCAGTATCCTAAATGTGACAGTGCAGCATGTCAATAAAATAAGTAAAGTCAGGTATCACATACAATGTCTGTTTTTTTCCCCAATAAAGCAGAGGCATTGCCTATCATCAAAATGATCACAACATTCTCACATAAACATGGTTACAAGAGGATAAATTCTTTCAGAGGCTCCCATTATTCACTATTTCTGATTTAGAGGATCTCACTGTGGTTGGCATTTTGTATCTCTCAAGAATGTGCTGAAGTTTGAGCAAGCCATCCTTAACCACATGCCTTCCATTTGTTAACTGTGGGGGCTGGGACTTATGGGAGTTGAAGTTCAATAAATCTTATGGAAAACAGGTTGTAGAAAGTGGGCCTAAGCAATACATTATATATCTTATACAACTTGAGTAAACAGACTCAAAACTCTGTTAATTGATAGCTTCCATTCCTAAGGTTCTATCAAAATGGGTAGCCAAACTGTGGTGGTCTTATAAGTGTCTTTGCCCAAATGCTGATTTGGATGAATGGTGTCAATAGGCAAATAATATATTTCTTTGCTTATCTATAAAGAAATGTATATGCTGCATTTTCTATTACAAGAAACCACTCTGTTCTCAGAGCTGCAAACAGATTTAAATAAAATGCCACACACAGTCATCAAAAAGCATGTGCTAGATATTTAAGGATATGCTGTCCACACAAATAGTTAAATAAGAAAAAATATCAGATAGGTAAGCATGTTTCTTTTGTTCCTATTGGCCAATTATGCCCCATCTTCCAACTGTTCTGAGATTTCCCAACATGGCTTGCAACAATTGATACGATTCCCTTATAGTGCTTCAAAGATTCTTCTTATTCAAAACAAAGAATTCAGTTGCTTGGTCATAGTTGAATTCTTATCTTTTAACCTGAGGCAAAATTATTTTCCTATCACTTTCAGTGAGATGGCAGAATTCTCTTACACAGAAAAAAAAAATTACCATTTTGGTTGAAGTAGCCATGGTTTCCATTTCTTCATGAGTAACCCAGACATTTCCAGATGACTACGGGGAAGATATGACACATATGAATAAGAAAGCAAGGAATTTTCAATAAAACATTTCAACTCCAAGCTAATGCTACATGGGCATAGCTGTCATAGATTCAACGGCTGTGGCAATGTCAAAAACAGTAAAGGCTCCCTTGAGTTGAACTCAATTCCTGGAGACAACTTGTTTTCTTTTATAACATTATGGAAGTAGTTAGCACTATTCCACAGTGTCAATAGTCTATAGCCCCTGGATTTCCTGATGGTCTTCTATCCAAATACCAGGGGTGTCTGCCATCTTGATTTCTTTCATCACACCCTGTTGACACCCATGCCAAATACTAACTATGGTTTTGTAATATAAGGTATTTTCTCCCAGGTAGTAAACCTGGACTGTTGTAGTACCAAGCCACACTGGAGTGAAGGAAGCATCTTTTAGAAATTCCATAATAAAAGACCTACAGCTTTAGCCTGCTTCTTCAATTTTCTATTGCCTGCTCTGCCTATTCTGGAGGTATGGGAAAGGATCTCAATACATATTATTCCATATATTTCTGCCTACAGTATTAATATTTTTTACACAGCAAGCAAGGAATGCAAAGCAAGTATATCACTACATTTCAGGAACAACCTAGCATTGTTCACCAAAAACGAACCCATCTAGGAAGAGCTGTCATTGCTACTAGAAATGCACATTTAAGTTTGCCAGAAAGTCAAGTTACAAATGGGAATAACAACAATAATTCAGCACTTCATACAAAGCTATTTTGAATTGATTTTTGGAAAGCATAGAGAAAGGGAAAAGGCACAGTATCCCTCATTCATTTTACAAGCATATATTACAATGGGGCAGAAAGGATATGATACAATTGACTTTCTCTGAGGGATATGGGGATTCCAGTTTTCATCAGAATTCTAGCTAGAACCCGCAGTCTTCAGTCTGACTAAAGGGCTATGTGTGTGGTTTACATCCCTTCAAATACAAGTTCTTAGCATTAAATATGGAAAGGAAGCCCAATTTATAAATCCCAAGAACCCAAGATGAAGTGCTTACTGTTCTGGAGGTGGGTGGAGCAGAAGGGCTTGTGAGTGATACCATTTCCTGAATTGCCAAGCGCAGTTTTAACCTGTGAAGAGCATTACTAATTCCAATTTCCCTCTGGATCTCTGTATCTGACAAGGCAGACATGATCGCACCACTTTTCACATTAGCTCTGCAAGCTGCAACATACCAGGCAGGCATGCCCACCCAAAGCTACAACATAAAAGGCCAGAGATGAGTCTGCGTTTCCAACCCGCACATGTGTAACAGATTCACATACTAAGAATTTACAGTGAACAAAAGCAATGAAAGATGAGATTTGTACTGACTATATTAACTTCTTTGGTTTCTTATAACAATGCTGTATACTTCTATCATCTCCACATTTCATGGTATAAAATACATTATGGTGAATTATTAAAGGTTGGGGCTTTTTTGTCAAAACAAAAATGCTGAAAAAGTATTTAAGCTTTACATTTATGTAATATTTTCAATGTTTTTATTTAAATATGACAGGATCTAAGCAGAAAAATAGTTCTCTTATTAGTACAGTTTAAAGTTTGTGAGATTATATATATCTGCATATATTTCAAACTTGAGAAAGGTGATTATCTTCAGTTGACCCTTGGGGCAGAGAGTAGGCAAAACCTTCCATAACTTGCCTGCTCACTTTTACTGCTATTACACACAGTCACACTTCTCTGCTTAGAAAATGATCCCAGGTGGATTAAAAACCACAAAGATAGTGCAATGATTTTATTATCTGTTTGTTTGTTTATTAAATTCATATGCCGCCCATCTTCCCCATTTTGCAACAGCACAGCAAAAAGAACTGGGCGTGTGATTATATTGCAAAGTCAGTTCAGAATGATGATAAAGCTTCAGGTCCTCACACTATGAATGTGTAAAATGTAACTTCTATTTGCAAATACTTCCCCAAAACATCTTCATTTGCCTTCAGTCAAGATATGAAATAGCAGTTTCCAAAAATATCTATCCACTAAGAACTCAGGCTACCTGCCAAACATGATTAATCAAACTGAATAGCTAAAGGAAGCTTACCTCCAACCAGGAGACCACAGTTGGGCCATCCCACTGAGCAAAAGGAATACCCTTTCTTCTAGCATCTTCCAAAAGTTCATGTCTGGAAAAGGAAGCAGTAATACAACAATTCTTGCTAGCTGTGCACTCCTCCAGAAAAACAAACAAAAACCCAAAACTGAAATTATATTTAAACAGTTGATAGCAGATTTAGCAAGCTATCCCACAGAATGTGGCAGCAGGAAAGTATGCAATATGCAATACCATTTGGTTTTTTTTTTTACATTTTTTTTTATCCTGCCTTTATTATTTTTATAAATAACTCAAGGTGGCGAATATACCTAATACTCCTTCCTTCTCCTATTTTTCCCACAACAACCCTGTGAGGTGAGTTGGGCTGATAGAGAGTGACTGGCCCAAAGTCACCCAGCTGGCTATTATTATTAGCTATTATTTAATAATTAGCTATTATTGTACCCTGATCATATATTTTGAGTTTGCTAAGCAAAACTGGAATAGCTAGCAACAGCTTTCTAGTATAAATACTGATAGACATTTTGGCAACATCCCTCCTTCACACATCTCAGCTGTTCAATGCCATATGTGCTTTGGCATAAGACACAAGAATGAGCAGCTAGGGTGCATAAAAAGAAAACTGGCTTCTATTCCTTGGCAAAAGGGAGTTAAAAATCCTTTTGCCTTTGTCTTAGTTGGAAGGTAGCAGCTATAGAGTTACATATAATGTGTGTGGAATGGTGGTCTTTAGTATCAGAACCAGAGTCAGCTTCCTGTATATAAAGAATTATCATATTCTAGGAAGTGAGTGGGTGCCAAATGTGATACTTGACCATTGGTCATAAAAATCTGGGGAAAGACATGTAATCCAGGTTTTGTTTTAGCTGAATGCGCTCTTAGGGAGATTTTGAAAGAGGTATGTCTTGATCACCTGCCCAGATAGTGACAGGCAAGTCTATTCTCAAAAACTGTGCTAATCCTTTTAGAATAGTTTCAGTAAAGAGAAGATAGCACTTGAAAGACAGGAATCATGAAGCTTTAGAGTTTCCTCTTCTTTTTTTTTTTGTTAAGCTGCCCTCCATGAATATCTCCATCTCTCTAGTTAAAGTAGCTGTTCTCTTAATCTGTTTCTTTAAGAAACTTGAAAATGTTATCAAGTATTTCTTCAGAAGAAGATAACAGAATGCACTGAAGATGTTACCTAGCCGGGTAATGAAACATTTCCAAGAAAAGAACCAAGCTCAGAGAACCCCAAGGACTCCACAGTTCAACCCTGAGCTACACATATTCACCTCTATTAGTTCTCACAAAGCAGTTAAGCAAGCTTTTCTCACAATTTCTTTCAGAAAAAGAAATGAGCTTATTTTAGGATGATAATTCAATCCAGTCAATGTGAGAGTTTGTGCTAAAATATCCCCCAAATATTCTACAGTAAGCCACAATTTTCTTAAGAGTGTACCAAAATCAAGACATAAAGTTACAATAATTGCTACAATAATTACTAAGACAGTCATTAAAACTGTCCTCACTTTTTTTTGAGCCGTCGGTCTTTTTCTGCTTGTGCTCCTAGCTTGCCAAGACCAAGAGAGTCCTGTATGTTCATCTCTGAATCTGTTAGCAAAACTATGAAACATAACAGATGAAGAATTAGAGTAGTATATAAAAGTAGTACTATTTTAATATATAAAAGTAGTACTATTTTAAAAAGCCTCAAAAGTTGAAACTATTTTTGCCTACTCAGCAAATAATTTGATGCAAATGTTCTCAGCTGTTGCATCCAATTTGATATCAAGAAATTTAAATTCAGTAATTCAACAATCTGCAATAGTAGACAAACTCTACTTAGCTCAATTTAAATTTGAAGGTTTGATATTTCACAGTATACATAATGAGAGTCCAACAGTACAGGCTTTAAGAGATTCTTTTTAGAGTACCAAGGCAATACACTGATTCTTAAATATTATATACAATTATAAAATTATCTCTCATCCTCATCCAATGTTCACTTTCCTCATGTACATTAGTAACCACTGTTTTATTGTGGCCCTATTTTAATCCACAGTTTCTTCCCAGCTAAGGTCCTTTCTTCCTTAAATTTGTTTTTCACATTCCTGTCCATCCAGAACTTTCCACTTCTGCTTCTGCGCCTTCCCATGGTTTCCATTAAATTGTTACGTTCAATATCCAGGTCTATGACTCCCTGCCTCCACTGTATTTACCAGTGCCTAATTAGACTACCATCAGGCACTATTGTTCCATTCCCATTTCTTGAAAGTAGCTGAAATAAAATGATGCACACAGACAAAAATAAACAGGATCCCCAGGACCTTCTTTCCTATTCTTGCAATCTTTTGTAGACGATTGTGACACCATGCTCAATCGTCATTCTCACTGATTGCTAAACCATGGCATGCTTTTGCAAATGTTTATACTCTTAGTCCTTTGCTTCAAAACTTTTCAACCCTCCACCAGTGATCTCATCCAGTAATTCTTGCTCACAATAATATGTGCCAATTTAGGCAAATAGAAAGATAGATTATAATTATAAATACGAGATTATAATAATTTAGATATAT